CCTCACTTACAATAGGAGGCAATCTTAAAACTTGATGACCCATTTCAGCAGTTATCTCGTCTGTAACATACGGCAAGTTTGTTTTGTAATATTTGTCAATTTTTCATTCATTTCATTCAATTCATTTTTTTGACCATTTTCAGTGTAATTAATCCGCTTACTCCGCAGCCAATTGATAATTACTTTTTTTCTTGTCGATGCATTCGGTACACTTTCAATAAGTCTAGAACGAGTTTCGGCAGGAGTTTTGGTTAGTTTTGGCTAGCCTCTTTAAGTAATATCTTGAAAAACTTATATTTGTTACCTAAGTTATAATAATATATTTCTTTTGTATTTTTCAGCTTTGCAACCAGTGATTGATTTCATTACGATATTTGGAAAAATCTGCAATGTGTTCTGGCAGCAGCTCCGTTATAAAGGAAAAACAAGAAGCGAAAAGTACTGCTGATCTAATTAAATTTGGTGCCAGTAAGAAATTTTAAACTCATCAAAAATCTTTAAAATTGTAAAGTTCACGTATGACTTGTTATAGTTAATACTTATTTAAAAGTCAGCATTAATTATTGATTATTATTGAGTACTTTACAGATTTGTGCTCTCAATAAACATTAAACTGTTATGCCTTTTATTTCAATTTCATCGAATAACATGAATATTATTAATTATTTGTAGTATTATTAATTTTTATTTATTTATTAAATATTATTATTTATTTAAATTCGTCTATTTACCGGAGATATCTGATCCTCCCAGACACTAGAAAGCGAAGCGACAGGTCCGATTCTCGGATTTGTATGGAAGTTTCTTATCTATCTTCCCCTTATATCTCTTATCTATGACTGTGATAGTCCTTCCAGTATCCGACACTTTGTTGACCAATTTTTTTTTATCAATGCGACCCTGTTTTGTAGTGAAAACTACTGTAATTATCCGGTAATTGGTGCTATCTCTGTCGAGTGAATGACTCCAGGGCGTATCAGACAAAGATAGGACATTAGCAAGTAAATGGGAGGATTTGCCCATTCTTAATACACGAATGAGAGCAGGTAAAATACTGAAACACATTATCTTTTGCTTTTATGAGTTACTAAGCCATCACAATTCGTACCGACTATATACTATCTAATAAGCTATACTTCTAATACTGTGGATAGTGGTGCCCACAATTTTCCATAACTCTCATAGTTATCGAGATCTCCTATAGAAACATCGAAATTGGTCCACCCAATACATACAAAACGTATGCACAACCGACACCATAAAAATAACATTTTATACCTTTACAAACTATTTTAACAGAAATATGGTGTCCGTAATGTTGGAAAAAAACTGAAAGCACGGAAAACTTTGCTGATCGCCGATAAAGGCCAGGTTTTTCTATCCCCCCACGTCAATAGAGTATCGATCTGTTGATAAATTGGGTTGGGCCCAGGTACCTGTCAATATACTTTCGTTTTAGTCAAATAATTGGTATTCGATTGGCGTAGATGAACCCCCCCCCCCTGTTGCGTCATTTTCGCTACGTCAACGAAGAACGTTGTAAATTTAACCGCTATTAAAACGGTCTCACCTAATCCCGAATAATTAAAAAAAGCGATAAGGAGGCTCCGCCCAATGTCACGTTTAATCTTCTACTTAACAACGGTTACGTAACACATTAAATAATTTCGCTGGTTCGTGACATTTCGCGGCAAAACAAACGTTACGTCCTATCTATTAGGTCACGCCGCGTTACGTAAAAATCGCTAACGTAAAAACAAGTTTTTGTTCGCTTTAATTGATCAGCCATTAGCTGTTCCGAATTTAAACATTGCGGAGTCGCGATCAATGGCCAATCAACATTCCAAATCGGAGAAAGCTGCTTGTTCATTCATAAATTGCTTTATGATGGTCGCCGGCCTATAAAAAAGTTCTTCCTAGGACGGTTTGGAATTTATTTTCAGTATTATTGAGTTAATGCAATGCTAGTCCCAGTGGTCATTTGAGATGGGTCAGCGGAGCAGCGGATCTCATAAAGTTCATGTGCAATATTCAGTTCCAAGTTCGGATAAGAAAGAAGGCTTTTGTGGCCTCGGATAGGACAGATGAAATCAAACCCTTTTTGGAAGCAACTGTAATTGCGAAGAGCCACCTGGAACGTCACATCAATAGTTATAAAGATGAAGAAACCAGAATGGAGCTTAAGAATTATAAAATAGACATACAGGGTGTCCCACGACATGACTGCCATAACTCAGGAGTATGTTGTGTGGCGATTTCAAGTTAAAAATGTCAAATGAACATATACACGGAACGCTATTCTACAAGCTACAAGCATTTGAAATATTAAAGTCAATTTAAAATAAACCCCTTTATTTTTTATTTCATTTTATTGAATTAGTGGTTCAAAATGTGATTCAAAGAAGAATCTCAGGAGCAGAACGAATAGTTTTTGAGGCATCCATAATTCTAGGTACAAGTTGTTATCTGTTTTCAAAATTTTCTGCATAAATTAAAGTTTCCAGGCTCCCCCGTAAAAAGTAATCTAAGGGATTACGTCAGGTGATCTTGCTGGCCAAGGAACTGGTGAACCTTTTGCAATCCACCGGTTTGTATAATTTTGATTAAGAAATGCTGTTACTCATCGACCAAAGTGGGGAGCTGCATATATCCCGCTTTCTTCCGAGCGTCCTTTCATGGATCCGTCTCTGAGCGTCTAGTATCGATTTCATCAAGATCCCTACTTTAACAAGTGAAGTTTCCTAATGCCAGATTTTACGAAGATCATTTTTGTGAAGTTTTATGATACTGATATGTTGGCGTCCTTTCATAGAAGTGACTTGCTAGCATCGAATATACACGGGAAAACTTTTACATTCCAGAATCCTAGCGTTCTTATGTATATTTTTCATTTTTGCCGCAGATTTCTGAGCGTCCTAACAACGTTGTCCCATTGATTATGTATTAAAGCGCATATAAATGGTATGGTCTTCAGAACACGCTTCTCCTTTTTAACATGACGGCGCACAGTCGAGCGGGTATATGAAAAATGCTTTGTTGTGAACTGTTTTATATTTTTATTTTATTGTATTTGTTTTTGGTAGGTTTGTTAATTTTTAAAGCTGCTTACTAAACTTATATATTTGTGTAGACGTTTTGTTTAATACGTAGCCCGATTTCGGAAAGTAATTCTTTGATTGATTTTAATTCAATATGTTTGCCAGAAATAATACACTTCTATGTACGTTTGTAACAAGCTGGTTGCACCTAATCTTGCATAAAAAGTGTCAATTTCAGGAGTGCCCTAATCACCAATATTTTTTAACTAAACCACTTTTTTTACAACTTAATAATTGAAAATAAATACTAATGTTTATATAATATTTTTTTAATTGTTTTCTAAGTTCTTAAGGGTTGACTTATTTGTAGATCAATAAATTATTGTACCAAATTAAGAAAAACTGTTAATTTAGAAAGTAATGTAATTTTCAATTATTTTCTTTTGTGTTGTGTGTGCTTAATATTATGGGCGGATGTTAGTTAATTGGAATATTTAGGAGGAATAATTAGAAGTTAGTATTTTAGTTTTAATAAAGATAAGGATTTTTTAAATTCTAATAAAATTATAAAGAACACAGACAACTGCGATCACAAATCTTCTAGATCCCTTCTACATCGGTTATTTATAAACAAAACAAATTGACGTTTCACCAATCCTCCTGATGGCTTCTTCAGAGCATTAAATGAAGTTTGCTCACATTTCATTCTGAACGTACTTAAATACTTTTTGAGAGAGACGAAGCTAAAAGAGGAACATGAACACTGTCTCAGATTTCTATATTGGTGACAGAGTCGCGGTTAAGATTGTTTGGTTGTTTAGAGATTTCTATGGATTCTCGGATATTTCCCTGGTAGCAGAATTGATTACATTGATTAATTTTTAATTTGATCGAATGAGATTTAATGTCAGATTTCATTATTGTTTTTTGCAACTGCTTATGAGTTTATTTGTCATATATGTTTTGTTCTGTTTCTCTGGTTAGTTTTGACATAGCTCTTTCAGATATATTGCAATTCGGTAATCTGGAATCAAACCTTTTCAACCGAATTGAAAAATGTTTGTCTGGAACACATTTTTCTTGTAACAGTCAAATTTATGAACAGGACCAGCTATGAGATCTCCAGGATGGTTGGCTAAACTCAGACTCAGGTAGAATTCAAAATATTTGCAAATAGTCTTATATGAGCCAGTGAAAGTGTTCTTTCAAAAAAAATCTTCAGAAATCTTCAATTGTATATTACTCAACACGCGATTGATTTGAGTGTAACCTTTGAAGGTCGGTTATTTTCATGATTAATTAATGCCGAACACCGTATACTCATGTTGGTGGATTTAGATTTAGATTTAGTTTCTCTAACGAGTATTTGGAATTGCCATTGGCCAACCAATACTTAGACTATCCATGGAGAGTGGAAAAAACTCGATTCTTAGCTTTTAGAAAAAGCACATGATCTTTTTTATTTCTGAGATCACGGTTGAACGAACCTACCAGAGTACAGACGGAATTACCACGCTTAACTTAAAAATGGTTTTCAATATTCGTGGTTTAAATCTGGAGCACTTATTTAATAGCAAGGGATTGATACTACTACGCAATCGCAAATCGTAGAAACTATAGCTATATTTTGTGTCCCCGTTGACCACCAAATAAATAAATTATTTATATAAATATTTAGCACATCCAATTTAGACCCAGACCGCATTTTTTAGTCAACTTAAACTTAGAATTGATTTTTCGTGGTCCTTCATAGCTATTGTATTCACATCTCCTCTATGAGATAACTTAATATAAGGAATATTGACGGAAAAGTTTTTCGCCTCGTACTATTTCAGAACGGGTTAGTTGATCCTCGTGTGGTTGCGGTAGCCTGGTGCATTTTTGCTCATTTTTCCTGCTCAGCCGGCTATCTCCGCCGTCGCAGCAGTGGGGGACCCACCGACGAACGTTTGCCTCTCCGTCGGTTATTTTCCGCCAGACGTAACGAGAACGTTATTCGGTCTACGCGCTGTGTTCTTCGGGGATGCTCACTCGCGATAAGCTGAAATTCGAGAACGGCGCCGAAGGAACGCAAAACTTGCGTTCGTGATTAAGTGTGTGATTCTTGTAAGTGATTCGTTTTCCGGGATAGCATTATTTTTTTGAAGAACTTGTGTAACTGGAATACTCGAAATGGATATGAAGCTGTTTAGTGTTATGTGCTGTTTGGTCTTTTTTGGCACAACCGTGTTTGGAGCGACGACCTCGAGAGAAGGTACGTTGCCGAAACTCCTCAAAATAAAAATTATTTAATAGTGGTTTTTAGTCTTAAAAGCTCAGCTTTCTGCTGGGGTAGAATCTGATTTGGAAGAAGAGCTACAAAAAACATTCTACTGATCTCACATTCAAGTTATAAATGTTCAGTGGTTTCAGGAAGGGGCCTTCAAATAAAACCCTTAACTTTTAAGACCCAGCGTGTTAAATCTTGTTATAACTTCGATAACCGCTTCTATTCCATTTTTCTATGAAAATTGGCACAGATCATCTTTTGAGAATATTAAATATGCACGCGATGTTTTTTGACAGATTTTGTTGAAATTTGCAAACATCATTTATAAAGATAAAACGCTTCTCTTACTTTAACTACATGAAAATTGTGAAGTCCGGTGTCGTGCCGATAGGTATTTTAACGAATGGTACGCTCATAATTTTTGTTATTGCTTTCAGTAAGCGAACGTATCTTGCTCCGTTTTCTAGCAAAAAAATAGAAACCATAAAAATTGGTAAAATTCATTTTTATGAATTTAAATAAACTTTACTAAACGTAGTTCTAAAAAATTAACACTAAAACAAATGATAAAAGTGACTATCATCAAAACCTAATTTTTATCTTCTTAAAATCAATTAGGGAACAATAGTCACATAGCCAACATTAGTCATAAAATATAAATCCAAAAGGAAGCAAACTTCCTTATCAAGGTATTTTCTAAAGAAAATTAATATAAAAAAAAACAATATTTCGGCATACGTTACCAGAAGTAATTTGAAAGCAATCACTGATTCGCCCTTTGGTGCAAATTTTAAACTTTAACCAATTCTTAGTGTTCGTTCCTTGAATCCTAGGAATAGAATTGCAAATTTTCCATTTGTACTTAAGTTATGCGTGTGCATGTAGAGAATTCCTACATAATTTATGGAATAGGAATACACCTATATTTTATTCGAGAAGCGCATACCTAAAAATAAAAAGGTTTGCTGGCAAGCATCACTTGCTGCACTCACTCGAAATTGCTGCAACTGATGGTTTGTCTTCTCGGATTCCGTCGCATTTCGCAACTTTTTACTTTGCGTTTAATGTTTTATCTGTAAAGTGAAAAAAAAAGTGTGACCGTAAGTTTCATTTTCCAAACTTAGATATAGGAAAATAAGCCGTTCGACAGTGTAACAAGGACAACATATTTCTGCTTTTGTGTTGCTTCTGAGTTGCGCTCTAATGTGAGTAAAAACGCGAAAAATAAAGAAAATGGCTCATCTCGCTTCAAACAATTATAGAGAAAAGTCACATATTACTTGGGTCTTCGCAAAATTAGGAATCCGATTGAAGTGAATGAATTATATATTTAACTATTTCTATGAAAAAGATTTAGAAAATCAGTTTTGTAGTAGCTTCTTCATTACAAGGATCTTCAGTATTATTTGGAGCTATTATAGTAAAAGTTTTCATATTTGAATTCGTCATTAAAACCAGTATCTTCACGTTCAATGTTTGTAGTCACATTTCTAGCCTAATTGCCAGTAATATTCTAGTAATATTCTCAAGTAACTTTCTAATTGATGTCAGTTTGTGGTATCTGTTAAAGCGTACCTACATATGGGATTATCAGAATTTCCTGTCGTAGGAGACATTAACCAAGTCTTCAATTAGGTTAAAAAATGGTCTCCATTTCAGTCTACATAATCCTCCTCATGGAAACATTCTATTCAATATAGCACGGTTCGCCATTTTGCAGTCAGTGCATGATTTCTTATGATGCTGTGAGACAATTGATCAGGTATATTTTGAGCACATGTAAATTTGGCGAAATGCTTCTTTAAGAAAAGAAAATTCAGCCCCTAAATCAAAATTTACTCTTGCTTTGTCAACTTTTGTTCTTCGTTCTTTCTTGGCGCTAAATTCAAATTTTTCCTTTCAAAATATTTGTCCAATTTGTCATAAATCTTTGACAAAACACTTACAGTTTCTTGTCCGTGGTCATTCTTCTTCGTTAATTTGATCAATTAAATTGTTTGTTCTTCTGGTCATTTGTTCTTATTTTTTTTGTTTTTTCAGAATATTTGCCAAGCTAGTGAAAAATTGTTGATACAGCGCTTATCAAATATTTTTTGAAAACTTCATAGATTTGCCATTTGAATTTTTTGCAAATAGCATTGGTGTAGCAGAAAGCCACATGCATAGTAAAAAGCGGCAAAGCAGTTTTGATTTTCCCCTGATTTAATAATTTTTCGAGTTTTATGTTTTTTTGAAAAGGCAAGTTGTCGATATTAACAACGCAGAATTGCTACAGTGCTTTCGACTATATTAAATATACCGTGAATTATATTAAAATTACGTCACATTACAAGCAATTCAAACGTAACTTACGTGGGCGCCATTTAATATCACCAAGGCAAACAATGAACGATAAAATATCGATAACGGTCCTTCTGATACGAGATGAAATTATCAACAACAATTTTCACTATTTACTTGGACTACAATCCGCGAGCAAAAATAAGTGCCATATTATTTAACACAATTTTATTACTACAAGCATTTTTCATTGACATCTTATCGGCATCATTGCATCAATTTTATTACTTTATAGATATAGTCAATTTTATGTCGAAGAAAAATATACAAGGGGTTTCAAAAAACATGCGTCAACACTCGGTTGGAGATTCGTCATCCGAAAAATAAAAGAAAAAAAGTTGTATTGAGTTGCTTTTGTATATTCATTAACTTTTTGAACTCTTTAAACACAAATCGAGTTCTCAAAAAGTTAATACTAAAGAAAATGATGAAAATTGCCACCATTAGTTTCATGGCGAGAATGTAGACCAAACGCGACATTCATCCAAAGAAAGAATTGAACTTTTAAAATTAGGAATTATGGTCTGCTTTTCAATGGACGAGTTACAAAAGTCTATTCTACGAAAGTCACCTTCACACAGGTAGTACAATAATATGACTGATTTCGCGTAAAGGCACTCTTTGGTCCACTGCTACACAAGCCAAAGTATTTGTTTTGATCGCTTCACGCAATAAAATTGTTTTCTATATTGTCAGGTTCCTGTGATTTTTTCTGACTTCGCCGTAAATAAGCAACATGTCAATGTTCTCTTGCAAAACAAGCCATAATGTTTTCAGAAACTACCTTTATACTATAGATACTTGACACCAACCTACTTCAATTCAAACTAAATATCAATATTTTCCAATTATTGTTTCTTCAATCATATCTTTTGGTGATATACTGTTTTTGAAAATTGAATCTAAATTTTAATTATTAATGTAATCCCGGTAAAAGCAAAAGTTTTTTTTCAGTTTCATCAAATAAGTTTCTAAAAAGAAATTGTTAAAATATGTTGACTGCTAGTGAACCGAAACATAAAATGACAAGAGCCAACCGAAATATTAAACTATATAAAACTTAAACTATATAAAACTCAAAATTTGAATTACTGGAAAGTTCATGGTTCTAATGTTCTCTAATTTTCCCTCGTTACTTTGGCAAAATCAATGACATCGATTCTTTGCGAAAGTTTACGCGTTCCTCACTAAACTCGAGATCTCGGTAACGGTTGGTCCTACGGGACCGCCATCAGCATCGAAAAAATGTTTTTTATCTGCTCGTTCTCCGTTCTCTGTTCTTGGATTTTTAAGTCGATAACTTCCAAGCGGTTGATATAGACGGTTCAAATTTTGCTCCTTTTAAATAGTCGGCGAACTGCACCACACCTGTAAAAATGGCGGCGGCTATGTTTTTTTTTTTCAATTTTCTGTTTTTTTTGAACATCGCTTTGAAACACGAAAAGTGTCCGAAGTTTGAAGTTCTCGATTTGAAATTTGGCATACTAATAGAGTTTAGTTCCTGGATGCAACCTGCTGAAATTGGGGGGGTGGGGGGTTCGGAAAGTACATTTAAAAATTGAAAACTGCGTTTTCAATGATCTAAGAAAGAAATCGTTTCTTGAAAATAGTTTACGCGAACAAAGGAAGTCTTGTACAAAAGATCTGCAGAATCCAATACTAAAAACTTTTAATCCGGCCAATTTTCAGAATTCAACAGGGTGTGCCCGGTATTCGCAAAAAATGAAAACTTAGCTCCTGTAGACAGCTCAAACTATTTTATTTAAGCTTTTTACCTATTGTACAGGGTGTTCGCATATTCCGTTAGAAAACCTAATAGGTGCCCTAGGTGCATATTTAGCGATGAAATAGCAAATACGGCAAAGTATTTTTTTTTGAACTTTTTTTTGGGTTATTTTGGTTTCCACAAAAAAATATTTTTTAAAAAATTGTTAACCCGATCGGCAAAACTCTTTAACCAGCAAACGCAGAAGATTCAGTACTATAACTATTATTTCAAGCATATTTTCGATTATATAGAGTTTTTTTTTACTATTGACAAAAATCTAAAAGACCCTGAAAATTGTCCTTTTCCACGGTAAATCAAATTTCATAACCCACCGAGTGGTGCTATTTTTGTATTTACGGTTTTCGTATATCGCATACGCGAAATATTTGAAAAGATCGTCTGTCATACAGGATGGCTAGATATTTCAAAGATGTATTTGTGAATCGCAGTTACCGGTACAAATTTTTGTATTTCCGTTAGTTTAACATGACTTGGAAGTTCGGAAAGCGCTTATTTGAAGCGCACTTTATACACTTTATACACAATCAAATTACATTCATTTTGCGTAAATTCCATAGTGGTCTGCAGAAGCACAAATAGAAAAACAGTGCTTTCCCCTACTACAAGAAGGGGCATCAAGAAGATATTTAAACTAAAAATTAAATAAATTTTCGGTAAAACTGAAAAAAAAAAACATTAACTTTTGGATACTGAGAAACGTGTTATGTGCGAATTGACAAACGTTAAAATACCTAAAATCCTACCTACCTAAAATGCCTAAAATCTATCGAAAACAACCAATCGCTTCCAAACCTGTTACTAACGTACCGTGACTAGCGACTGTGATTAAGGAAAGTGACGTGTCAAAATGACACTT